GAATATTTGATCATTATTGATCATTTTCTTTTTATGGAAAGTTATGCTTGATAGCAATACTCTCTCTCTTAGTCTAATATTTCATGGAATGCAATTCCATTGCATGCTCCATGGGGTTTAGTTTAAAAATTCGCATTTGAGTATAAAGCCTCAAGTTCGTGGCATTTGGGGAAGATAGAAGAGTTTTCCAAAGTGTCGACCGAGGTGGTGCCTTCGTGGAGGATGGTTCGATGCTAGAAGGGTATCGGGTTGTGCTTACGTTAGTACTTACTTAGGTTTGCTTCTCTTTTGATTATCCTTTTTCTCGCTTTATTCGTTTCCGCTTAGTTAATTTGTTCTTTTCTTGCTTAGTTAGTTATGTTTTCTTGCTTAGTTAGTTCTGTTTAGTTGTTCGTTCTTTGTCGTTGTTTATTAGTTTATTCCATGTCTTGTGTAGTTGATCAATTCGGTCCATGACAAGATTTTCAAAAGTCGAACTCTTTTGAGCAGACGGGGGATGAGCTGATTAAAATGCCTAATATAGTTCTTGGAAGGACGGGTAGTTCTTATGATTCTAAGGCGAATTCGTTGGCCTCATCCCAAGGTGTCAATAAGTCCTCTTATTCGGAAAGGGATGATTTAACGTCAGATGAATTTGGTTCTCTCGGATGATTCTTCTCCATGGTCTAAAATTGGGGATTCTAGATATGTTACCATCCGAAAAAAGGAAAAAAAAAATCTCATCGCAAGTGATATGAGAGGAAACCAAGATATCAAATTGGCTCGCAAGACTCTCTTGGGCAGAAGAAAAGTAAGGTTGAAGAGTTCGGAGCCACAAAACATCCGGAAGATTCTAGTGTAGTTGTAGTGGCAGGGGGGCTAAATTTAAATAAATGAGTTGTAGTTCAGAGCTTGGGTAAACTATCGCCTAGAAGGAATTCAGAAATGGAGGAGAACGAAGTGGATGACACTTTTCCTTCGGCAGAAATGGCCGAATAAGAGGGCTTGATCAATTCTTTGGACAGAGTTCCAGAAACCAATCCATCTCCATCAGGTGATGTTGTGAGGGAGATAGCGGTTAATGCAAGATACGGAATGGATAAAAGGTCCAATGGCTCTCACAGCTCCGAAGATGAACAAATGTTGGAGGAAGCTAACGAAACCTGCAAACTAGCCAATCAATTAGGTGTGAGAGAGATCAATGTGGAGGAGTTTCTCTGGGATTGTTATAAGGCTTTACTAGAGGAAGGCTGACACCAATAATTGGTGTTCTTGGTTCTTTGGGAGTTGGCTTTATCCTTGATGAAAATTATCATTTTAAACTGTCGCGGTTTGGGAGGATGTGCAAAAGAAAAGGCTATCTCTAGGCTAATGAGGTTGGAAAAGCCTGATGTTTTTTTGTTACAGAAGGCTAATCCTAATTTGATAATATAAGGGTGATCCAAAGGTTATGAGGCAAAGAAGATTCTAAATATGTTGGGGTTCCTTCAGAAGGCGCCTCAGGAGGATTGTTGTGTTGTTGGAACCCTTTAGTTCTGGAGCTATCAGTGGAGGCAGCAGAGCAGAGGTATGTATGGCTGAAGGGTTCCATAGTAGGAAAAATAGAAGCTTTTAATATTCTCAATGTTTATGCTCCTAATTCAATAAGTGAGCAAAAACATTTTTGGGATAATCTTCAAACCAAAATTGGCTCGGGGAGCGATTGGTGGTGTATTGGTGGGGACTTTAATGCTAAAATCTCAAAAGAGGAAAAGAAAGGAACCACAAACGATTCACGTTCTAGAGGAGACTTCTTAGCATTTATTGATGTTTCGGGCCTTTTGGATATCCCTATGGTTGGTCGTTATTTTACTTGATCGGGGAATAGAGGCCGGTCTTATTCTAGACTGGACCGCTTCTTGATTTCCATGGTTGGTTTAGTGAGGAGGGTGAATGGAGCCAAAAGAAGCCTTTTTTTCTTTTTTTTCGGATCACATTCTAGTGTGCTTTGACATATTGAAATTAAATCGAGGCCCAAAACCCTTTCGTTGTTTTGATCATTGGCTTTTAGATGAAGACTTCGTTAAGATGATTGAAGAGTCTTGTATGAGTCCGGGAATTCTAGCATTTTAGGAGAAAAATTTAGGAGCAAAATTGAAGAAAATAAAGGGAGATATTAAAGCTTTGAATGGTTATAATAAAGGAGATTATGGTAAGGAGATCGGTTTGATTGAAAAAGAGGTAGAAGCTATGGAACGACTCCAAAAAGAAAGAGCCTGGGATCAGACTCAATTTAGTGATCTCTAGATCATCATATCTAAGCTGTGGCGAGCCTAGATGAGAGAAGAAAGTGCATGGCGTCAAAAATCTCGAGACCTATGAATCTGAGAAGGGGATAAGAACACTAGATATTTCCATACTGCGGCCAAAATTCGTCAAGCAAGAAATCATATTTCACAGGTGAGATGGAATGATATACTCTGGGTAGGTCCGTTAGGGGTTAAGGAGGCAACTCGGAAGTTTTTCCAAATTCATTTTTCTGAATAAATGAGATATTGGCCTTCACTGAATAACATTGGGTTAAAGGCTTTATAAAAAATCCAAAGAGAGAGGCTGGAAAAACCAATAGATTTTGATGAAATATGGGAAGCAATCAAGACTTGTGACAGAAGTAAGGCTCGTGGCGCTGATGGTTTCAATTTTAATTTCATTAAGAGGTTTCGGCATGTGGTTAAAGATGACGTAATTTTGATTGCCTCTAAAATCATTCAAGGGCAAAGAGATCAGGGTTGAACGGCTATGTAATGAAGATGGATATATAGATAAAGCATTTGATTGTATTGATTGGGTTGCCTTAGGGCATTTCCAACCCAGCGCAATTGTCTCCGATCGACGCCAAATCCTCTGCCACTTTTTGGCATTGCTACAGTAGCAACGCCAAAAAATGGCGTTAATTGTTTTTATTATTATTATTTTTAAAATTTTAAACTTTTTATTTTAACTTTTAAATTTATTTTTTTATTTTTCTAAATTTTTTAAAAAAATATTTTAAATTATAAAAATAAAAAATTGTTTAAAATAATATGAAAAATTGAATATTTGAATAATAATAGTGAAAAAATGGAGTTATGATTGGAGTAAAATTACTGTAGTAACTGCATGTTTATGGTTAAAATTGGATAAATAAAGCTGATGGGTTAGAGATGGCTTTAGAGACCATTACGGTGGCAATGCATTTTGGGGAGAGATGGAGGCTTTGGATCAAGAAGTACATCTCTTCAACGAGTGCGGAGGTGCTAATCAATGGCTCTCCCTCAGAGTTCTTTAATATGTAGGGGCATTTTCCAAGGGGATCCTTTATCCTCATATTTATTTCTATTGGTGGCTAAAGTTTTAAGGGTACTGGTATCGAGGGTCTGCGCCCACGGACTGTTAAAAGGATTCTTGGTTAGAAGAACAGGTTTTTCGATGAGCTATATTCAATATGCAGATGATGTTATATTCTTTATTGAAGAAAGAGCCGACACTCAGCTGGTTTTAAAAAGAATATTGCGTATATTTAAGATCTGCACAGGACTAAGAATAAGTTTTCCAAAAATTTTCTATCTTGCAATAAAAAAGGGGGGATGGTCAGCTCTTTCAGAGAGTGGTGTCGTTGTGGAAGGTGCAATTGAGAAGAGATCTCTTCGACTGGGAAAAAAGTGTATGGGAAGAGTTTCAAAAAATGATGGACACGCTGATCGGGTTATTTGGAAAGGAATAACTCACCACGATCCGGTGTTTGTATGGCTTTGGAAAATTGCTGCTCCTCCTAAGAATATTTGTTTGGCTTGGAGGATCATGCTTAACGGTCTTTTCGGAGAGGCCCAAGCAGGTTACCCATTTGTGATAATGCCACGGGATCATTTTGAAGTGAAATGTCTGCTTCTATTTGGTGTCAAGTGTTGCATTAGTATGAAATAATATGGTGACTTGGAGGAGTATGCTTGATTTGATTACTCAATGGAGATTTTTACAGAAGGTCAAAGAAAGCAGACAGTGGCAAGGAAAAAGGATAGCCTGCATAGGACCAATGCCGCATGGATGCCTCCGCTAGAAAATTAATGTGGACGGGTCTGCAGTCGAGATTCAGCGGGTAATATTTTGTTTCTCCTCGATTGGCAGATGCTTGTATATTTGAGAGATGGTATGCGATAGAAATCGACTCCTTGTCGGTAGTGGCCTGGGTTCAATGCATCCATCCGTGGAGATTGGAACAAGTGGCTGAGATTCTTAACCACTCTAAGGAAACATATAGTGAGAGAAAAAGACTATATGACGGATAGAGAGGTGCAATGGCTCTACTGTAGCTTGGATTTAAAGAAATTGTGGAGTTGGCAGACTATTTGTTCAAATATACTTTGATGACTTCGTATTAAATTAGGAGAATGGTTGCTCCAGTTTCCAGAAAATATGTGCTAATATGCTCTTGTGGAGCTTAGAAGCAAGATTTGTTTGTTCTGGTGAAGTTTAATTCAAAATTATGTTGTTTCCGAAAAGAAAAAATGAGCCCTGGAAGAGAGAATATTAGGTCATTTCTAACTCACAAATTCTATTTTATACAGTTTTAATTTTAAAACTCTCAACTCTATTTTGTGCTTCAAAAATAATATTCTTCAAAATATTTTATTTTATATATTATTTTAAACAACTTTTTATATCTATAATTAATATTATTTGAAAAAAAAAAAATAAAAGAATTAATATGTAAAAAAAAATTTAAAAAAGAAAATAAGCCTAACCATAAAATGGCACCATTGTTGGTGTCAAATATAGGGCTCCATTGGAGTGCAAAAACTCGATATACGAGTAATTGCACCAAAAAAGCAGCCCATTAGATAATAAGCCAATTATGATTAGGGACATTTCAAAGTTTGTAAAATGTTAATGAATGGGATAAGTTGTTTAGCTCTTTACCACTTGTCAATGACACCCCACTCAAGCTGAATTGGCATTGGCATGACAATCAAATTCAGGTTGCACTTGGTAAAAACTGCCGAAAGGAACGAACAAAAGTAAAACTGATGATCACAAATGATATAACACTAGTCTATCATCTCAGTTTCTCTAGTGTGCTTGCAGACTAAAAACATACAATACAATACAATAATATTGTACAACTGAAAGCTGAAAGTTGGTATCCATCCCATGATATGATATGATATTCAGCCGAGAATTTCTTATATATATTAAGATATCAAACCTAAACCTTAAACAGCACCCCTAATCTGCATATGCAAAGAATGGCTGGAAGGATAGGAAGATCAGGACATCATCCATATAATCAATCCCTCCAAGACCTCGAGAATATGCCTGTAAGCACCTGCTTCCACAAGCTTCTTCCTACAACTCTGGCTGCCTCCACCCATTATAGCCGCCACCACAGCAACGGGAAACTTCTTTGATACTGCGTCGTTTTTAGGATCCAGCATCTGCACCAACCTCATCACACTCTTCTCATCCCTCACCAATTCTTTCCTGTTAGCTTTAACAGACAGTAATGAAATCAATGCCTTGGCCCCAACCTCTTGAATCCCATCCGGCTTTACTGTCTCCATTAGCTTCATCAAGCAACTCATGCATCCAGCAATGCCCATTTTAGTACCATCACTAATTGGTAACTTAGCAAGCAAAGATGCAGCCATATGCTGCAGCCTAACTAGGTTTCCATGCTTTACAAGCTCCGAAATTCGTAAGACGAATAAATTAGATCCAGATAAATATCGGTAGCTGGCATCCGAGGCAGATACTGAACTAATTGCACCCAATACAGATTCTAAAGTATCCGCCGTCGAGCATTCATGAAATAATTGTAACAACTTTGGCAGGCCCCTCCCCTCCCCCCTTGGGTGACTGAGTCTTCACTAGGAGGGAGCAACACCAACATGCAACATATATAAATTTTCAATTGAAGATGATTTTATGTTGGTTAATGTTTTTATTCAATTGTAAAGTTGCATATGTAAATGGTAAATGAATGTACAACTTTAATATGATAGATCACTATTAATTAATTCAACAAACAGGGGAATGATCTATCTATAAGGGATTCAATGGAGATCAAATGGCTATTCATGTACCTCTTTATCTTTGGAGGCTTTTCTATCTAACTAATTTTTTATTTATATGGAATGAGAATATGCGTAGCCTGGCCTGGCTACATATTGTAGGTCGTAGGCTCCCTCATTCATTAACCTTGACAATATGCATTATATATACTTACTTGTTCATAAGTGGAAGTGAGAAGCAGCAGGATGGATGGATGATCGATCAGAGGTATTGTTGTGCTTTCCTGAGGTGACCCAAGATTTCAGCCTTGAGCTCCTCAGGAACGGGTGCAGTTGGTCCTGCCTTTGAGTAAAACCTAGCCAGTGATCTTATTGCTTTCTCTAGCAGCACATTGGATTCCTGCAGCCATCATCACCGTTGATCCATTATTATAACTCTATAGTTGTTTGTTACCACCAATTCAGTGAATTGAATTGACATCCACACACACATGACCGACCACATCGCAGCAGAGCAGAGCAGAGTATGGTATGGTATGGTTACCTCATTGATTAGTGACTTGTGCCCCCTCCAACCACCACTCAAATACTCTCGGATTGATTCTTTTGCTGCATCAGCACTTCGTCTAAACTTACTTACATCTTTTGTTTCTTCCTCGAGGGATTCACTGAGTGTTTTCACAACGTCCCTCGCGGATTTTAAGTAAGCCTTGGGTAAAACCCTTCCTGATTTCGTTTTCTCATTAGGATCAAATAAGGACTTCAAAGCCTCGACCATCGATCCCTCGTGCTCATCATTACCCGTATCCTTATCCTCCTCCATCTCAGCCGATACTGCTGGTGGTAATAGCATCAATTCACATAGGAGAGCAGCAGCAGTGGCCCCTCCTCCCACCAGGAAGAGGCGACGGGGACGGCAGAAGTTGGATAGCAATCTTCCTTGGGGTTAGCCAAACAAAACATCAGAGTCAGTAGTAGAGTTGAGAGTTGGATAAGCTTCGGCAAATTAAATTAATTAATTAATTAATTAATTTAATAATGATAGAGCAGTGGCAGTGCGTAATCAATCATATCATATCCATCCGTACAAATGAAAGCAGCAGCACCAGCAGCAGCAGCAGCAGCATCTTCAAAACATCTAAACAAGAGAAACATTTTCCGAAGCGATCCAAATGAAACCTTACCTTTGAGTGGTGGGCACATTGTTGCAGTTGAAGAAGGCAGATATAGAGTTTGAATCATTCTATTCTATTCTATTTCTAGGTATAGATAGATTGATAGATAGATACAGCAAAGATATTTGGATTGGGAGCAATTGAGGAGAGGAGAGACGAAGAGAAGAGATGAGAGAAGAGAAGAAATGGGAGATTGGCGTTGCGCCGTGTGTGTGTGTGTGTGTTTGTGCTGATTATTGTGATAGATAAAATGATTTCACACCATTTTCTGACACCAAAGTTACCGAGGATGTCTTCATATTCAGACTTTGTATGATACAATTACAGACAGATACTTTGCATACTGTATTTATCTAATTTGCTTCCCCTATTCAAACAAAGACCGACTATAGATTATACCTCATTAAACAAAAAATAGTATCATTTACTTAATTCCTCCCTCCCTCCCGGCAAATTAGTCTATTTTTCCTCCTTTTTAGGCCGTTCAGCAAAATTAGTCACATTTTTTAATATAGTAATAATTAGTAAATATTAATTACAAATTTAACTATATTTTATTCAATTACTAATATCCCTAACTTTTATTGTTTGTTTTAATGTAAATTTAAAAATAGAGATAGAATTTTGAATAATAAAAATTAATAAATATTCAATGTGATATAAATAAGTGTTTATGTGATGTCTAAATTTTTTAATTAATTTTAAATATAATATAAAAAATATTTGATTTGATATTTTACGATTGAAAATTAGTTAATAATGATATTTGATTTAGAAATTGATTTTTATATTTCATTAAAAAAATTAATTTATCACTATTATTAAAGGTGAAAAATATCAATTTGTTCAAATAATGGACGTACAGTATAAAATAAATACTAAAGTGTTAAAATTATTGTATATCGTAAATTTTTATACGGTATAACATCGTACCGAATATTTTCAGTAGGTCAATTGCATATACTTTTAGCATTGTTGGTATAATATATACCAAAAATATCAATACAGTTTGATATTTTAGTATTTGATATATTGGTCTATATCAATAATTTAGTATATTGATACTAAATAATTAATTTTCTAATATATTCTTAAAATTGTAAAATTATTTTTTAACTTTTATATTTCAGCGTAAAATATTATATTATGATATCATACATGTAATTCGATTATAAATGACTCGATACTGTATTAAGATAATATCGAACCATATTGTATACCGCACCGAATTTTTCGGTATATTAAAAAAAATATCGATACTATACAAAAAAGGTTCGTTATACTGAGATTTGACATTTTCGGTATCTTTTAGTGCGGTAGGAATTATTAAGTATTTTTTCATCTATAAATTTGGTATACCAAATTATTTGTACAATATTTTATTACGATAAAATAACAAACTAAAAATTTTGGTACGATATATAAAATATGCGTTATAAATTTTGGTATGTAATATCGAACTATCCCTATCAACAATCAAATTCAAAAATTTTGATGTTTTTTTTATATTAAAAATTTTAGTATTACGGCTGATATTTTTGTATTTAAATTATTACAATTACTTTTTTTTAAAATCTAATTGCATGATTTACAATCAATATAATAATATTTTTTTGGCAAAACAGCAAAAAAACTCTTGTGGTTTACCGAATATGCGAAAAACCCCCTTGTATTCCTAAAACTCCAAAAAACCTACTCGTGGTTTATAAAACGTTGCACACTCGTCCCCCTTTTAAATCACACTGACGGCGTTAAATTTTACCCTCATCAGACTGTTATGCCCATATGGTTCTCTCTCTTCTGTTCTTTCTTCTTCTCTTCTCCACAACCTCTTTTTTCCATTTCTTTCTTCCCCAAATTCTTCTTCACACATCTTCTTCCTCAATTTTTCTCTTTTTCTTCTCCAATTATTTCTCTCTCTTCTTCTTTTCTTTTTTCTTCGCTTCATTTTTCTTCTCTTCTCCCCAACTTCTTTCTTCCATTTTCTTTTCTTCCCCAAATTCTTTTTCACAAATCTTTTTCCTTAATTTTTTTTTCTTCTTCTTCATCTTCAATTCTTCTATGAAGAATGAAGAATTGGAAAAGAATAAAAATAGAAAGAAGATGATGGGCAGAAGTGACTGGAGTAGGAAAGAAGGAAGGAAGAAAAGAAAGAGAAGAAAGAAGAGAAGGAAAAGAAGAAGAGGAGGAAGAAGGGCTGAATACAGTTTTTTCTTTTCTCCAGTTTTTTTTTTTTTCTATTTCTTTTTCCCCAATTTTCTTTCTTCTTTATTTTTTCTCTCCAATTCTTCCGCATTCCATTGCAACCAGAAGCAAACAGGTTTTTCTTTCTTCTTTCACTATCTCTTTTTCCCCAATTTTTTTTCTCCCTAATTCTTCCGTACACCGTTTCTTTTTTTCTTTCTTTCTTCTTAGATTGATTTCAAATCTTGATATCAAATTGATTTCTTAAATTTTTGGGTTTGCTATTTATGGGTTTTGTAAAACACAAGAAGAAATATTTCTGGGTTTGGTAAATAGAAGAAGATCCATGTCCGATTGATTAATTGTGATAAATTTGGGATCGGTGTCGAATTTGGTTGTATTTAACGGATTTTAAATAAAAAAAAAATGAATTGAGAGTAAATTCTGAAAGTATGGATAACAATAAGAAAGAAGAAGAATAAGGAAGAAGAATAAGGAAGAAGAAGAACGAGGAAGAAGAAGAATAAGGAAGAAGAAGTCATAAGGGTATTTCAGTAATTTTACACATAAATATATCACTTTATGGACAAAAAATCGCATTTCAGGCGCGTGGTATACAACCTCTGTTAAATCCTAACGGATGGGGGAGTTTTTGCAACGTTTTACAAACCACGAGTAGGTTTTTTGGAGTTTTAGGACTACGGGGGGTTTTCAGCAGATTTGGTAAACCACAGGGGTTTTTTTGCTGTTTTTGCATATTTTATTTTCTTAAAATAAAAAAATTTTAGTAAATAAAACATTAAATTTAAATAAAATAAAATAAAATTCAAATTTTATTTCAATATTCATCGAATAAAAATAGTTAAAATAACATTTTATTACATATATTACATTAACTAATCACACTAATTAACTATATAAACCAAATTTTCTTAAACTTCTCGCAAAAAAGAAACGCGACTAATTTCGCAGGACGGAGGGAGTATTATTTTTCAAATAACGATCAACTATATTCATGATTTCATTTTCCTTGAGCAACATCCATATAGTTTGTCCTCGTATTATGTTTACTCGTTATCACTATTATAGTTCGTGTTGAGAAAATTATTTTGGTGTCAAAATCGGCATAAATTTTCTTTTTTAGTTGTTGTTTGTCTTAGTTCGGTGTTCAAAAAATATATTTGGCAATCAACATGAATATGTTTGTTCTATTGTTTGTGTTTGCTCTTGTTCGATACCAAAAATTCAATTTTAGGTAGGTTTTTTTACTACTCTCTCTCCAAAATTGATCACCGACTTAGTTATAAAAAATATTTAAGATTTTAAATTTTTGAATATGATATAATTGCCTTTGAATTCGATTTTTGTTTTGTTCAAAATATTTTTTAAAAAAAAAATATTTATTGTTATTAATTGATTGAGAGGATTTGGAATTTGATAATTATAGTTTCCATGGTTGAATCCGTAATTTATTGTGATCTATATTATTTATATATTAAGTTGGGTAGATTAATAGCAAGGTTGTTATTATGTTGAATAATCAATTCATTTTTTATTTTTCTTAGTGATTATAACAATTATATTCGATGTTAGATAATATTACCATAAATTTTCAGATACAAATAATTACAAAAATCACGGATATTTTTTTTTTATATTTATGATTATTTTATTTGTATATTAATAAAAATGCTTAGGCAATTTATTTTAAATAAAATTCAATATCTGTTGTAGAAAATATTTGTAACAAATGAAGAAAATGATGATCATATTAGCTTCTCATAATTTTAATTCTCATGATTCATTGCATAAAATTCATCTCAAAAAAATATATTCCTCATATAGGTATGATAAACATAAATATAAGGCATGAATCATTGAATAATATGTGAGTGATATTGGCATATTGTAATCGTCATATATTGAATTAATAAAAAATGTGGTTATAGTTCTCAAATTTTCTTATAAAAAATATATTTTATTATTGATAAGGACATTTTATTGTTGTGCCGAAGGTAAACGAAATTCCGATAAGCGAGATGTTTATGTGAAAAACTCATCTGCCAAAACTATATCTCGATGCTTGGAAAAAATGAAAATATATTTGAAAAAAAAATGAAAAATATGAGGTTGTGGATTTTATTTCAGAATATAATTATTTATTTAGAATATATTAAAGTAATTTTTTTAGATCACAAAAGAAATTAATTAAAACACTACCAGAAATTAGGCTATTTGTAGCGGAGGAATATCCAATACAAATGCTCATTTTTTTACATAAAAAGCTTTTTGTGTCGATTATGTGACAGATTTTGACTGCTATAAAAAATTGAGTAGCAAAAAATCTCTGTAACGGCTTTATCGGTAACAAAAAGTTGATGGTCAACGGCCCTATCATGCACGTGCTAAATTTATTTGTAACGGTTAGATTCATTTTTTGTAATGAAATAATTCGTTACAAAAAAGCCGATATAATTGCCCTTGTCATGATAATAATTTTTTGTTACGAAAATTTCTATAACAAAAGGGAACACTACAAATACTTCAAACTCGCTAGAAAAAATATTTGTTACAACATTTGGCTGTAACAAGAAAACTATTATAATTTACTAGTGAGCGTAACAAAACTTTTTGTAACAACCTAAAAAAAATGACAAAAATAGTAATATTTGTTACGGAACTAACTTCGTCACAAATGGCATAAGACCTATTTTTTATATATAAATAATACAAAAATCATACAGAAATATACAAAATGACATTTTATGACACAGCAAAAACATAAATACATTGTTGTTCTCCCAACAACCATGTTAATACATCTGAAATACCTAACACACAAAATATTTACAATCCATACGATCTAACATCCAGAAGATATAAAAATAAACATAAGTATGAATTAAAACAGACATGATCATTGTTCTTAAAATTTTCCAACAGGCACTCAAGGAAGGCAAAACAACTGCAGTGAAAAACAAACTTGTTAATGCATTTCATTTCTCAATTAATTAAATTAGATGTCAAAAAGAAAATAAGCATTCGTTGAAAAGATTAGAAGGTTACTTGG